CCACAACTTCTCTCAAGTTCTCTCTACCAAAAATAAGGAATATGTCTCTTCATTTTTATAAAAGAATAAGGGAAATTCAAGAGCCTGGAATAAAAGCAAAAATTTTGAATTAATTTCGACTTTGTGATCCTTTTTTCTTCATAATGTCAATTTGTGTATTGTTTCAGGCTCTTGAATTCAGTTACACTTGAATTTCTTTACACAAAAGCATGAGAAACATTCAAAAGTCGAGGGGTGTTTCACTCGTGCAGTAGGTGTACATATATCATACATTCATGAGAGGGGTTTTTCACCTAACAAAATTTGTACATTGATTAACAGTACTAACTAAGATATTTCCATGTATTAACAGATATTTCTATGTACCTAATAACAAGTTATTGCCAACTATTTCCATGTAAGTATTAACAAAATATTTCCACATATTGCCAGGTATTTTCCTAGTATTATCACATATTACCAGGTATTGCCATGCTATTGACAGACTAAAATCAAATATTTGTCTTGCTAGAATTCTAGTTATTGACATATCTACAGGTATTTACATGTTATTAATGGGTATCAACCAATGATATTGACATATTATATTGCCTAGATATATATTTTTTTTTTTTATTGACGGACAAAATGTCCATTTTTTCTTTACAAAAATTCACAGTGAAATATTATACACTAATACTTAGCCTAAACCTAAGCCTAAGGTTGGTAGCTTAAAACTATGTTACAAGTTATGAAAATATTTAAAATATAAAAATATATAATATAATTTAATTACAATTACAATTTAGGCCCAAGCAATAATCACTTATGGATACAGGACTGGAATAACCTGAGGAAATGGTTCTCTGTGCAAGTGAAATCAAGCTCAGGAAATCTGTTGGCCAGAAGACATGGCTCTAGGGAAAAAAGAGTTTTTACTATAGTTAGTACAACAAAATGGTACATTAAAGAATGATTTCGAGTATTAACCCGAGGAACATTTAGAGTAATCTTACCAGTGAGTTGCGGACAATCAATCATTGAATTGAACACTCTAAAAAGACAATGAAGATCATGGAGATCCCTGCGAGTCTCCGATGGAAGGAGATTCAACTCTCGATAAAGTACAGGATATGTGCTCTTATTATTGAAAAATTTGTAGTTAATATGGCGAAGAAACTTTCTCTGAATCTTCTCAATTCTTGAAGAATGTATTTTATAGTATGGAGTCCACACAGAGGACGCGTATTCTAGATGAGACCTAACAAGACTGCAAAAAAGAATTTTAAGCGTACGGATGGAGGCAAAATCATGAGTGTTCCTCTTTATGAACCCGAGCATCCTAAAAGCTTTGTTCGCTATGACAGTAATGTGATCAACATAAGAGAGTTCAGGGTTAAGCATGATACCAAGGTCCTTTATAGTTTCATTTGTTGTAAGAACGTCATCCTTAATGAGATAATCAAAGTTAGTTTTTACTCGTTTTCGTGAAAAAATCATGAGTTTACACTTGGACGCATTTAGCTCCATTCCATTGGAATCACACCATTCCACAAATCCATTTAGGTCGCGCTGAAGGTCCAGACAGTCAGCAGGACTGAAAATAACTCTAAATGCCTTTAGATCATCTGCAAATAAAAGGATGCTGCAAGAAACAAAACAAGATGCCGCATCATGTATAAAGATATTGAAAATTAGTGGAGCCAGATGTGAACCTTGTGGAACTCCAGAGGTCACTGGTATTTCACGAGATACAAAATTGTTAACCCTGACCTTCTGGACTCGACCCGTCATGTCAGTCTGAATCCAGTTGAGCATTGATATCTACAAGTATTGACATAGTATTTACCTGGTATTGACATATATTAACCAGTGATTTATACATCGATTAACAAGGTGAAAAACCCCTCGTTCCAGGCTCTTGAATTTTGTTACACTTAAATTTCTTTTCATAAAAGAATGAGGAACATCCAAGAGCCTGGAATAGAATCAAAAATTATTAATTTTTCCTAAATGTCTACCCTCTATATTTCTCTTTTCTTTATTTAGTGTCAGGTTTGGAATATTCCAGGCTCAACTCCTGTACCCCTCAAAGGACCTCGTTCAAACCTTATGAAAAAGTGACCTACTTATGTGGAAATTTCCTGAATTTTTCATTGCGTTTAGAGCAAGTCTTGCTGATTAAAAGTTACCATTGCGCTAAGTCCAATAATGAATAGTTTTGAAGATATTGACTAATGATACTAGATGAATAATAATAATATGCCTCTTATTAGAGCTCAGGTCTATCAAGTACCTATGTCTTCTCAGAAATGTATGAAAATCAACTACGAATTTTAAAAGTAATTTTGAAATACATTGAAATCAGGGTTGGCAAAAACTCAGGTTTTTGAAAACTTCTATTGGGTTTGTGAATTTTTGCGGGGGATTGTGTTTTTGTACGGTTTTTGTGTTTACTTAGCTAGGAAAAATTGTATATTTGTTACAACAGCACCTGAGAAGCTTCAAAATTGAATTTATCAAACATTTAAAATTTTCCAAAAATGACACTGAGACAGTTTTTGCCTCACAACTCAACTAATATTTATCTGATTTCAGTGTAATAAGGCTCTAATTGAAGCAAATTAAATTCTCCACAAGCCCATTAATTAAAATTTTAATTTAGTTTCAACAATTTTGCAGCTAGGAAGCTTTAAAATTGGATTTATCGAACATTGAGAATTTTCCAAAAATGACAATGAGACAGTGTTTGCCTCACATCTCCGTTAATTTTTATCTGATTTCAGTGTAATTTAGCTCTAATTGAAGCCAATTATATTCTCTACAAACCTGTTAATTAGGATTTTATTTCAATTTCGATAGTTTTGCACCTAAGAAGCTTCTAAATTGAATTTATCAAATATTGAAAATTTTCAAATGACACTAAGACAGCTTTTGCCTCACAGCTCCGTTAATTTTCATTCGATTTCAGTGTAATTAAGCTGTAATTGAAGCCAATTAAATTCTCTACAAACCTATCAATTCGGTTATTCCATAATATATCCTAATAATAACGGAACTTTATTTATACTGCACAAGTACCAGATTTTAGTACAGTTTAGTAAACCTACAGTTAGTAGCACATTACAAACAAGGGCTGAGCCGAGGACTAAGCAGTATATTTATAATAATTTCCCTTATTCCCTATAAAGTTAAGTCTTTGTACTAAGGCAAATGTCAATATTATTATTATCTGATTGATTAACACTCTCTAGACATTTATTTAGGGCGGGTATTATAAAACTACTTTGAGAGTTAACTTAAAGTTAACTTCTGGAATTACATGTAATTCAAAAAGTTAACTTTAAGTTAACTGTCAAAGCAGTTTTATAATACCCGCCCTTAAAGGAGTAGATACTTTAAAAGTAATGTTTCTCTGCCTTAACCTCACATCATGTATCAAGTAGGTACAATGAAGTTTATACAGAGTGTGCGATATAAAATGTCAAAGAAGTTGATCACAGATTATTTGTAGGCACTTGATTGCGCATTTTTATTCCTATCTGGTTGACCCTGTATTTTCAATGGGTTCGATGTACCTCAAGTTATTTAGGACACCCTGTATATGATAACAACTCAGGTACATCTATATTGTTATTTAGAATACATATTATAGATGAAATTGATATCACAAAACTCTCTAAAAATACATACTTTTAATTGTACTCCATCAACTTCCCCTAATTTTGTCTGATATGATATAAGGTGTGGAAAGCTTGGATAAAACCATGTTTTTTAAGAAAGAGAAAAACTTTTTCTGAACTTCTTCACTTGAGTTTGTATGGACATAAGTAACAGGATTCCAGATCACTGTGGCATATTCACTGTATATATAAAAGGTAGAAAATGTTTGAATTTTCAAAGGTATTACAGGTTCCCATCACAAATCCCAGCTTCCTCATCATCAGCATGAAGTGCAAAAGAGATTTTTTAAGAATAATATACTTAAATCTAGAATTTCAGAGCTCAATTCACAAATTTTATAGTCATTTAAAATGTTTACGAGAGAAGCTAATATATTTACCTTTACCAATATTTAGCCTATTATCTTGACATAAAGTCAGGATTTCATCACATCTACATCCCTTTGTAGAAGTAATGTATCATTTTCGTTTTCAATAATTTTGAAGATTTTCAGATCATCTGCATATAGTAAGCTAAGATTTCTGAACTACCCACATAATTAGATATATCATTAATAAACAATAGAGACAAGGCCACATAGCTCTAAGAGTTAGCTTCATCTTTGACAGTTTGAGGCCTATTGCCAATGTAAGAGACCAAATATCACTAAATGAGAATTGCTTGAGTTTCCTTATAAGAACATCATGGCACACCTTGTCAAATGCTTCTTTATTTTATTAATATTATTAAGTCCTACCTCTTTAAAAGGAACCAGTATGTGGAAATAAAAGGATGTAAGTCTGTGGTTTATAAAATTACATCAGGTATTTCCCAAGGTTCTAATTTGGAACCTCTACTTTTCTTGGTAGCTTGGTACTTTACATGCAGAGGTATTGTAATGCCCTCTGCATGTCTAAAAACTTAATATTTTTTCTTCTTTAAATAAAGATGCAAAAATTTTGAACTCTCCCGCTGTATTTCTCTTTTTTTTATTGGTTTTTTTGATACAACAATACACAAAAATCTTCAATTTCAAAGGCCTCTAACTTTTCAGAAACACCCTGTATGAAGATTATATTTCTGGATTTGATAGAACATTCCTTTGTCTTGCAGAAACTGGAAACCTGAATTTCCTATAAAAAAAACATTCTCTCAAATACAGGGTGATTTATGGCTCAATGTAAAAATGACTTCTATCCAAAAAAACTTATGAATTGAACTTTTCCAAGAGAGAATCAAAAAATGCCTTTGATACTACCTATGTTGAATTGTCTATAAAATACCTACGTACCTATTGAAAATTATGAAACAATTTCAAACATTTCACCCAATTAGATAATTCTTTTTTTTTCCTCTAGCACTCTCCTTTATTTGAAGTTTCTGATCCTGTGGATCCTGGTCCTAGTCGCCGACTTCATTTTGGAATTCCGCTTCGAGTACCTATGGCCCTTCTACCTGTTGATCCGTTCGGTCTACGACTCGTTTAAGTACCAGGGCCTCGCTTTTTCCGTTTTCTTCGTCCTGGTCGCGCTCACCTCGGACATGCTGTGCTACTTTTTCATACCGGTCAACTGGTTGTTTTTCGCCGCCAGCACTTACGTATGGGTCCAGTATGTCTGGCATACAGACAAAGGTAACCAAAATCAACTATATATTTGTTGTAAGATTTAATTTTGCCTTTTTTCAAATAGGGATTTGTGCCCCAACTGTGGTGCTCTGGATTCTATTTGTCTATTTAGAAGTGGCAGTCAGACTGCGAGATGTCAAACATCTTCCTGGACATCTGGATTTGTGCAGGCCGTTTGCGGCACACTGTATAGGTTATCCAGTTGTCACTTTGGGATTTGGTTTCAAATCCTATGTTGGCTACAGGTATTGACACACACAAAAAAAAAATTGATTTGCTAAATTCATTATTATTGATTCTTGTAGAATGCGACAGCGAAAGCAACAGCACGTAGCCAAAGAGAATTTGTTTTACATGCAGCTGATGCAGCAAGCTTTGCCATCTGAAGCGCCACCTGATCCCCCAGTGGAACAGCCGCAGGTGCAACAGAATGCTACTACAAATGTTGTAGCAGCTACAGTAACACCACATGTACAAAATAATCATAAGGTTAACAACCATAGTCATAAGGTATTATTTGAATAATAAGACAAGTCATATATGATTTTTTTTTAGTAGCGTGTATAACACTATAAAGTGCCTTTAGCTCAAATTTTCTTTGTCAAGATTGGTGAATATTGTTTTAGGAAAAAAATGGTCACATACCAAATGGTACAATACCAAACGGCGTAAGCCACAGATCTCACAATAAAAGGTCGTCAGCGGAAAAAAGCAGAGGCGACGCCGCTGGTGACCACCATGACAATCGACATATAGAACGACACAATAAGGTAAAACAATACAAAAACAGCCCAAAAAAAAATCATCAAATACCTATTTTCTTTTATTTAGATAAATCATTCACACAGTAACGGTTCAGTGGTGGATATTCACGAAGAACCCACAGAACACGAACCGAAACAGGCCAAAAAACGCGACAGGAGAGAACAAGACAAAGAGCGCGAGGCTCACGAGTACCTACAAAAACTAGAGTCCGAATCGAAAAGGCTCAGAAGCGATTTGCAACAGAGCAGGGCCAGCGAACAAGAATTACGGATACAGGTTTATACTACTTTAGCAACATAAATTTTCAAATACATATTCTAATTGGATTTTTAGGTGGCTTCTCTAACTACAAGTGAAAGAAGCTCTAAATCCGAACAGTCGTTGCTCCAAAGACAAATTGAAGATTTGCAAGAGCGGCTGCAAAGCTTTGCGGCGTCTAAGCAAAGCGATAAACAGTCTATTGGTAGTTTAGAAAGGCGGGTGGCCGAGGAGCGGAGGTTGCGGACAAATTTGGAATCTCAACTCAATCAGGAGAGGAAAAATAGGAAGCAAGAGGAAGCGAGACTTGCACAGGTAAAATTTTTTTTTGAAGTTAATATTATTGAGTTTCTGGAAGGCAAAAACAGTTTACCATAAGTAATTTTTGAACACATTGAAAAAAAGAGAAATTTGCGGTACAAGAAATTGAAAAGAATCTCTGAGACTGACAACTTGAACTACAGGAACCAAAATAATTTCCTTGAAGCCAAGATTAAACAGTCTAGAAGGAAATATGTAGCCCCTTCTGATAGGCAATTTTATTCCTACATAAGCCGATCTCTTAGTTCAAGACTTGCACATTTCTTACTTAGGGATGTAACCACTAACTGCGCCTAATGATGAGAAAGAAGTTGCCAATTGTTTGCCAAAGACTTTCAGAGTGTTTCTACAAGCGAAGATTTAAGCCATATGGCCAACTTCGATTTTGACACAATCTCTGTTAATTCACTTGAAATTGAAACTTTTACACCTGAGAAATTGGATTCTGGTCCAGGAGAAGACGAAATCTCTGCCATTTTCCTTAACAAGTGTGCTGCAGTTTTGTCACATCTTGTCTTAGCCATAATGAACAATCTTCTTTAGCTTCTTCATAAGCTCCATAACTATAGTATAAGAGGACTCCTACTCGACCTTATTCAAGATTTTCTGCAGGATCGACAGTTCTGTGTCAGAATAAGCTCCATGAAATCAAATTCCTGTGAAGTTTTTAATGGTTTCCCTAAGAATCAGTCCTTTACCCTCTACTCTTCCTTGCATATCATTTGGGAATGATACCTGTTATTATAGTTATTTTGTAACATAAAATGGGGGACATAGATGCCATCAAACCGTGGACAACTACCTCACAAATGCCATTGAATGACTTCAAGTGTTCAATTCTCCACCAGGCAAAAACAATCTCAGGATACAATATTTCATTGGTTTTACCCAGGTAATCTGTGTTGCTGAACAAAATTATTCAGGAATTGTCGTTATTGGAAACATGAAGTGAGAAAACCGCATCATAAGGAAGTCAAACTCCATCAAGTACCTGATTTCCAAGGCATTTAAAGATCCCAAAGCCCCAAATGTTTCTAAAGCTCTACACAGCTTACATAAAACCCAGGCTGGAGTATGCCCACAGCATATGGAGTTCTTATAATGTCAAGGACATTGAAGCACTTGAAAAAGTCCAACCGATAGAAACAAAAAAATGTCTAGCTCTTTGTGACCTTCTATACCAATAACGGCTGAATTTATGATATGAGAGACGAACGTATGAGAATCTTGTAGACATTCAAAATAATAAGTAGATACCACAAGTGTGTTTGACTCCACTGATACCTAGCATCTGAGGGGACGTAACAAGATACTCTGTAAGGAGAGCTGTACTAGGCCTTTGTGTCCAATGAAGTAATTTATATAATTAAAATCGATTCAGTTGGTCCACTGTAAATGCACCTTCAATCAACCTGTTTAAAAAGAGACTGGACAGTGAAATAAAAAAAATGGTCAAAATCATTTGTGCACTAAACCTACCAATTAATATATGTTAAAATATCTAGCCCTAAGGAACAGAATGGAGCATTATATACAGAGAGTTATTTCGTCGGTTTCTAGTATCCATTGAGGACTGTTTGGGAGTTATGCTGCAATACTATTCAAAGTGAACGGTTCGGATATCTTCGCTACTTCTGCAAAGAGGTGATCTGCAGCGAGTTTACTGGATTGATGGCACAAGAAATAGGAGTCATCCCAAGCACCTTAGAACTACCATGTTCTTTTGTACCAAAGTTGAAAAGAGAGTATCATGTTGATGAAGGAAAAGATTCCAAAAAACCAAGAGGATCTTAAAAGAATAAAAGAACAAGGTGGTAAATTCACAAAAAGTGTGGATGCCCTTAAAAATGACGTCGGCGCTCTTAGGCATCAATGGATAGAAGGAGAAAGGAGAATGAAACAACGAAAAAAGATATTTCAGAGATAAAAGTAGATAAAAAACTGACAGGGATGTTATATGGAGATGCTCTAAAAAAACTGGAAACGAAAGTGGAGGCTTTAAAAAAACCAGATGACCATGTAGGAGTTGAGCTTACTCTTATCGAGATGTAAGAACGAGAATATCAGCGGGAACACCAGCAGGTTAAAGCCAGAGAAGATAGAGAAACAATAATCAAGTCATTTACAAGGATGGTGTTGAGACTCCCAGAAGAAGCCAAGATCATAAGACTGGGCAGGGAAGATGAAACTAAAAAAAGACCAGTAAAGATAGGTCTACCAACGCAGGAATAAGCACTACAATCTCTAAAGTGCAGAAAATTTCACACAGTGTAATCTACATAAAAAGCGAGCAAACTGAAACGCAGAGAAAATACTTGAAGGAAATATTGGGCAAACTCCAAACTCGAAAGGTACCAAGTGAGAAAAACATTAAGATCAAATATGTTAACCAAATACTAAGAATCGTAGCAGTATCAAAAAATGAACTCAATTTTGCCCCTATCACTGGGCAGGTCCATTCATGTCTGATGGAAATTACTGTATTATATACCAACGCAGGATTACTGTTCTCAAAACTAGATGAATTTTAAACAAGAGTAAAGCAGGCCTACTTTGATATTTGTTACAGAATTGTGGGCTAGCGAAACAAACTATCAATTGCTAAGTCTTACAAGTTACAATACCTTTCAGTGTTTTAGACAAACCCAGATGGGGGCGGAAGTATCATATATGTAAAGGAATAACAGGATAAAAGAGAAATGTATGCAACATACTGAATCAATCGTATGTGCGAAACAACGCATCCAGAATTGAATCAATATGGGTAGATGTAAAATAGGCAAAGCTGGACTGTTTTTGGACGTAGAATAGTAGGCATACAGGAGAATATGGACCTGATAGAAGTGATAAAGAGAGTGAGCCAAAAATTCAAAAATCCTATAATCTTTGGTGATTTCAATTATCCAGAAGTAGCTTGAAAAAATCTAATTCTTACAAAGGAAGGCAGAGAAACAAGAGACTTTTTGGACGGCTATAAGGAAACCAATTTGAAACAACTCGTCACTTTTCCAACAAGACCAAGAAATCACATAGAATCATTGCTTGTGAATGACAAGAAGCTAGTTACTTTCGTAGAACTGGGTACAATCCAGACGGAAATGGATAATGTGAAAGATTTAATGGAACAATTTGAAAGACTATTCAATTTGGAATCAAATATAGAAACCTCGACGTAAAACAATGGAAAGATGTATTATTAGATTCTCTACATGCAACTAATTCTACACCTCATGAACGCATGTTCAACCATCCTAGAAGGTCGAGTAATGGAACCTCAATACCTACGTGATTGAGCACCCCAGGACCAGTTTTTCTCAAAAAACATGTTAAACATAGCAAATATGATCCACTAGTAGAAGAAGTTGATCTTCTGGAAGCAAATTCAGATTATGCTCATGTACGTCTATCAAATGGAACAGAAATAACTGTATCAACTCGTCATTTAGCACCAAGGGGAGATGTAACACTGCTAGCTCTGACAGATCAAGATCAAAATCTCTATGATCAAAATGATGTGATACTACCAGAACAACATCAAAATTTTATAAAACTGTCAGAACAAGATTTTAATGACTTACCCATTCCTGAAGAAAACTTTACATCGGTCAGTTCAGAACGTTTATCATCTTCGTTTCCTATAAATTATTCTAATCGTTCTCTTCCCCAAAATTCTGAACAATCTGACAATGAAAATTTTCCAGCTTTATCTACAGTAAAACTTACAGATGAATCCGGTTATGTTATAGTGAAAAGAAAACATAAGCCACCTTCATATCTTCAAGATTATGTCAAAAACTGAGCGAGGAAGAATGTTAATGTGTATCTCATTACCTTATTTACTGTGTTTCCTATTTAATAATCTGTTATGTTGTATCTCATGTTGTCAGAATAATCTGTACTGAATTTTAGCTTATTGAAGCCTTAATTCTGAAGGTCTTTTACTGTAGGCATGATCCCATAACTACCACCGACATGTTAGTCTAACCAGCTGTATTTGCAAAATACAAAGGAAAAAGTTATCACAAAAGAACTAACAGACTTTATGACTGCCAATAACCAAAATGATACCCTATAAATAGCACAGATTTCTACCAGAGATATCACTGATATCAGTCACTACAAATATTTTGACAAGAGTAGATAAATGGACAAGAGCACAAGACAACAACCAACCAGTAGATTTTGAATACCTAGACTATGAAAAAGCTTTTGACAAAGTTTTTCATAAAAAGCTACTGCACAAGGTTGGCAGCGAGGTGTCAGGGGAGATCTTTTGAAATGGATCAGGGACTTTTTAATTGGAAGACAGTTCCAGGTCAGAATAAATAGGAAGCTCTCGGAAAGTTATGCAGTGGAGAGTAGTGTTCTTCAGGGCTCAGTACTGGGACTTCTGCTGTTCACAATGTTTACCAGTGAAGCAATTTCTAGCTATGCACTTTTCTTTGCAGATGACGGAAAAGTTTTTAGCAACCCCTTTTGACTGCTGACCACCTCATTACAAGGAGCTTGGTAAAGATAGATAGTTGATCTAAGAAATGGCAGTTCCCTCTGAACCACAACAAATGTACCATTTTAAACATAGGAGCTAACAATCCAAAACACATATACATGCTTAACCAACAGCAGATAACACCAGAGAGACCTTGGAATAACAGTAACATACAATTTAAAATGGGACGTATATATATATATATATATATATCAAATGTTACAAATATTACATATATCAAATATTACAAAGAAGACAAATAGTCTCAGTCTAATATTTCTAATAAAAAAGGCACTCCAGGACCAATCAGAAGACATTGAACTATATAAACCGTATATTAGGCCGAAATTGGAATTTGCACACTCATTCTGGAATCCGTATTGCATCAAAAACATCGAGTTGCCTACAGATACAGAGAAAAGTCACAAAACACATAGGGCAGGGCACGAAAAGCTAAACCGAACCTGGAAAGACTAGAGAAACTGAGGAATACAACACTCAGAGAAAGAAGGCAAAGGGGAGATTTCTGATAGAAACATACAAGTGGATCAGTTCATGCAACAAAATCGATAATACCTTTAAAATCAGCAACTTTCTGGTACTGAGAGGGCACTCCAAAAAGTTAAGCAAAGAAAAGTGCCAGAAACTACAAAGAAGGAACTTTTAATTAATTTTAAAAAAACTTTAAAATTAAAAAAACTTTTTAACTAATAGATAATTGAATAACATAACAAATGGCTGCTCTGTCTGGTACCTTGTACTCAGATAGACATGACACAGCACGCAAAAACTCTCAAGTCAGGAGAGTGAGGTGTCGATTCTATAGAACCAGCTCTTCTTATCCGTCTTTCCCCAAATGTCATATCTAGTAATTCCCTTGCTATTAAAGAATAATAAGGTGGGGGCACCATCCTGCTGAAAATAGATATCATCCAAGATGTCTTAACTGTGGGAAAAAGAACATATCAGTGTATACAGTTTCTATTATCGTTGGCTCATTAATGAAAATGGTCTGTATTTTTTCTCAATAAAGATTGCATACCAAACTATTACTGTTAGGGTATCTCTATTTAAAGAGTTCCATGGAACTCCTTAAATTTTCCTGGAAAATGTATTTTAACTTAATTGATATCTAACTGCAGTTACAAATTTTTTTGCCATAGTGATATCAAGTACCTGCAACATGAAGTTGTATGCATTTCCAGAAAAACCAAGATTACGATTTTGATTTTTCACGGCTAACACTTTAAGTTTTAGAGACGATGTCTATTGGTACATGGATACCTTGAATATGAATCTTTTTTTTTTTTGACGTTGTGACATACAGGGTGTTCCATTAGAAATACTGAAGAATTTCGAAGATGAAAAACGGATTTTTTTTTCACTCGCCCTGTATAAGTTTCAAAAAAAGGACCCCGCAATATTTAAATGGAAATTGGTTACCTGTGATATTTGGATGAAATTTAAATATGTTATTGGGGATGCTGTAAGCAACATTTTTTACCATGGGCACAACCCTGTATATATGACAGGTGAGGCGTGGTTAGCTGTCAAATATTGGAATCTTATATCCAAAAGCAGAGTAACTATGACAGATTTTGATGAACAAAAAATCTATTTCTAGTAAGTCAACCAACGAAAAATGTCAATTATTTTGACACCTGTCAGAACCCTGCCAAACGGCAGCACTCATCTTTTCCAGTTTTCAATATTTCATGATGTCATTTGACATTTTTAACTTGTATTTAATTTCTGAATTCAAAAATTGAAAAAAAAAATGACAGAACTGTCAAAACCTGTCATTTGTTTTAGTAGAAAAAAATACTCTAATCTGGTTCTTTCTCGTTTTAAGGTGGTTTATTGGTGATAAAACATTGAACAAAGTTCATGCACGACACATTTTGACAGCTGTCAGAATCTGTCAATAGCTTTAATTCAAAAAAAAATAAAATCTAGTTGTTTTTCAATTTAAGTTAGGCTTATTTATGATAACGCATGAAAAAACATTATATGCAGATTTCAGATTTTGACAGAGATGTCAATTTTCATTTTAAAGTATGTAGCTTCAGTATAAAGGATTTTATTTCATTAGTCATTATAATACTTAGTACTATAATGAAATCATTAAAGTACTCAAACATTTTGACACTTACAAATGAAATCCACAATGATGTCATTTTTTTCAAATTTTGAATTCAGAATTTACATATAAGGTAAAAATTCAAATGACATCATAAAATATTGAAAACTGGAAAAGATGAGTTCTGCCGTTTGGCAGGGGTTTGACAGGCGTCAAAATGGTTGACATTTTTCGACTTAACTTGGTCGACTTAGTAGAAATAGATTTTTTCTTCATCAGAATCTGCCATAGTTATTCGGCTTTTGGATATAAGATTCCAATATTTGACAGCTAATCACGCCTCACCTGTCATATATACAGGATTGTGCCCAGGGTAAAAAATGTTGCTTACGGCATCCCCAATAACATATTTAAATTTCATCCAAATATCACGGGTAACCAATTTCCATTTCTTTGGACGCAAAGTTTTTTTTAGACTTTGCGTCCAGAGAAATCGAATTGCATAAACCGCAGGTACCTAGCATAGCTGCTTTAAAAGTTATAAACATTTAAAATTGGTCACTCTCCGCTGGGACACCCTGTATTGCATAATCTTCATTGGGTCAATGAATTTTCTTTTTTTCTCACTCTTTTGTTGAATATTTTTAAAAAAATTCAAATTTTTCTGCTTTATTTGAACGTTCAGGCCCAGATGAAATACCTACGATAACCATGATAATTCTCAACCTAACAGATATGATCTATGTCGATTATGAGAAGGCATTCAACTAAGTCCTACATTATTTTTCTTCTAATCCACTTTGGAGTGAGAGGTCAACTCATTGTAGTAATAGAGGACCTACTACATGAGAGATTTTATCAAGTTAAGAGTAAATGGTGTGCTGTCAAATCACCATCTTGTTAGTAGCGGAATTGTCCATCATATTTGTTTGATCTCATTAGTCTCATTGAATCTAAAATGAAAAACTTCGTAGACGATGGAAAGCTTTATACAAATCTGCTAGTACCTACATGCAGGGCAGCTAAGGGCTGACCTAAAAACTATTGAAAAATGGCCTACACATTGGGAAATGAAGTTGAATGAGTTCAAATGTACAGTCTTAAGAATCGATCCTAACGAAGAATACGAACAATGCGATATTACAATGTGTGACAAATCAAAATGACTTAGGAATCAGAATAACTTTAGACCTGAAATGGAAGAACCACATATTAAAGATTGCCAGAAAAGCCATTTCTTTTGTATACCCCATTAAACAAACATTTAAAGATCACTCGATAGATATGATAGGCAAACTGTATAAAAATTAGTTGAATACGCTTTCTCATTGTGGAATCCTTACTTTGTCAAAGATCATAGAAATTCTATAGAAGATACAAAGAAGAAACACCAGAATTACGAGACCTTTCATACACAGAGGGATTGACAATACTAAAACTTTAAAGGAGAAACGACATAGAGGAGACTTAATCGAAACATACAAAATACCCAGCAACAACTATAATTGTGATATCAGAGAAATCTTTGTACAAAACCAAAACTATCTTCGTAGACACTCAAACAAACTCGAAAAAGAAAAAACCGCCAAACTGTCTAGAAGAAACTTTCTGAGCAACAGAATTGTTTATTCATGGAACGCCTTGTGCCTTGTGCTGATCTATCGTTTAGTCTCATTTGTTGAATTTCATTCTCTAATATTACTTACAATTCCTTCATCTCTAGAAAATGCTACTTCCTGAAGAATTTTGATTTCGTTTTGAATTTCCAATAATTTCTAAAATTTGATTGAAAATTACTGACTCTTATACTGAATTAATACTTCCTTATTTCAGGTAACAGCACAACAATCTTCCAGAACAGAATGTACAGACATTTGCAAGTCGCGACGACGCGAACTAGAAACAGAACTGGCAGAGTGTCGGCAAGCACAAAGATGGGCCGAAGAAAGGTACAACTTTTTCACAATAAAATCGTGCTTCAATAATAATTGTACAATTATATGTAGGTGTAAGACTCTAGAATTAGAAAAACAAGTTGTCAGCGACCAAGTCCGCGATTCAGAAATGCTAATGGTGGCGTTAGCGTCGGTGCAAGAGAAAAACTCCCACCTCGAAAACGCTCTATCTGCTGAAACCCGCATCAAGCTGGACCTTTTCAGTGCTTTAGGTGAAGCCAAACGTCACCTGGAAATTACTCGAAGTAAATTTTTTGCTTTTATCAAATCTAATACTTCAAGTGGGGATTTTTTTTTTAGGTTCGAACCGATCTCAAGAAAAAGAAATCGACGAACTCAAAAGCAAAGTGGCTCAAGTTTTAGCAGTAATGCCAAATGACAGGTTTGCCGCCGGGCAAGAGGCAGCTCAAATGTCACGGGTTAGATTAGCAGAAAGCCCGCCAGGTTTATCTAAATTGGATCCTAACGCTACGGCCTACACTCCTAAGAATTCTTCAGGAGGAGGAAAGCTCATTGCATCCACTGAGGCTTAAAAAAGAAAATCAGTTTTTTTTTTTGTTATTGAATTTGTTAATTACTATTTTTGAGTTGTTGCGATTTTAAAAAATACAAAACTAATAATGCAGAATAACAGTTTTTCTAGCTTACAAATCGTGACGTTTTTGAGTCAAAATTACATTGGAATTTTTTATGTAAGGGAGGGTTTGTTTCAATTGATTGTAAAGGGCCATATAGGCAGTATTAATATCTCAAATGTGTTCCAATTATTTTTAAATGTCAGTTGGCAGTTGAAATTTCTAGTCTATAATACCCCGAAATCGAAAACTAAGTTTTCTTTTGTATATATATATATATATAATTTTTTCTATAGGCAGCATTTACTATAATATGCCCAAATGTTGCCAGCAAATTGTGGATAAAATTATCACTTCACAAGTTTTGTTCCTTCTCCCCCCCCCTTTTGAATCAATTGAATTATTTGTATAGCTTAAGGAAAGTGTGATTTAATTACTACTACAAAATAACTGTATTTGAATTTAATGCCGTCTTAATCTTAAAGTGATGTTTAATCTCATTTATGTTGTGATATGATTAAGGAAGGATCTTTGTCATTTGAAATTTGTTTTTAGAAAATTGACTTTGATTGTAAAAGCACAAAAAAAAAATGAAGGGTACTAAGTAAGTAATTGGAAATCAGAATTTTTGTTTTATTTTTGGTATTGATCTCTTGTTTTCAAATTAGGTTAAGGCGGTTATACACGGATGTGGATGTCTGAAAACATGTACGCACATGCAAAAATATCAATGTGTATGCAAAATACTGTCGCGTTTTTGAATGTGACGTTCAGGTGAATTCTGAAATTTTGTATGCACACTTGAAACACTGTAGCAAGAGTAGCAAGATTGACAGTTTTGCTAGTTTTGTGCAAGTGTCTGTACAAAAGCGACATGCACGTATATGTATCAAGCCATCCACGCCTATGTGTAACCGCCTTTAAATGTACTTTAGGTTTTTTTTTTTTAGAATACGATTTTAAGTTCCTTTTTGAGTTTATAAAGTGGGTTTGTTCGGGATGATTTCGATTTTTGTAACAGGAAAATTTAACTCTCTGTACTTAATAAACTATTTTTTTTTATTGTTTTGAAGTTGAAACATTTTTGTTTTATTTGACAATATTTCCTCGTTTTTTTCAACCTTGCGCAAAGTCGTTGTAACTATAAAATCATACTAATTAATCTGTTTACCTCTGCAAAATGGTGTTATTTATGTGGAAATCTCGTGTTAAAATTGGATCTCTTGACGTGTGTATGCGCTAATTGAATTAAGGCATTAAATCGATATAGTTACAAATTAGCTAAACAATTACATAGTTGTTATTGAAAAGTGAAATAGGTATAATAACAACCTCCCATAAATTTGAGTAATTTGTCAAAAACTATGCAAGCTACAAATATGAAATTTTGTGGTATTCTTTACATGGCATAAGAGCAAAACATACTAAAAATTCAAAAAATGTACAAAATTATAATATACAAATATAGTGTGTCTATCCTAAATCCTCTTTGACTGTAGTACGGAGACTAAGTAGAACCAATGGTGAAAATTCGACCAGTCTCCGTACTACAGTCAAAGAGGATTTAGGATAGACACACTAGGCGCAAGTACGAATCCTCTTGATACCTAAAAACTAGGTTAATTCTTTGAAAATACCTGATTCAAATTTTCTACCTTGATCCGTGGTTATAACGGAATGAATGCTAAATCTCGAAACCTGAAATTGACCTTAACATGTTAATAGTAAAGGACCTACTAATATGTCTATATAAATATGAGAAAACCCAAAGTCAGGTTGTTGTAAAGGTGCAGAAGTATGCTTTGTTATTTTTACATTTTGGCAACTCGACTCATGCATGATTTAACTCAGCAATGAATATCTTTTTTCATGTTAGGGCTCAACTTAGGGTCGTGAATAAGACGTGACACATTACATTTGCGGTAAAAACTTGTGTATAACGTTGCTACAAAATTTCAAATGCAAAAACCGATTAACAATAACATTGTTAAAAAATGTCACGTTTTTGCAACAAAGATAAACAAAAAGCCGATGATTTCAAATCACTTATTTGTTGTTTGGGACAAATCAAATGACGCTTTCGCAACAAAAACCAGTTATTTATTTAACCATTTAACAAATGGACAGGTATGTATATTTATTTTTCCTTAAATAATTATGTAAATGGCCAAGGTTATCGTGATTACCACCGCATGTCATGTTTATTTTTCCAATTTTTGTTATGGCGGAAAGATGATGATGAACTACGCTGTGTTAGGCATACAAAACGTTCAATTAACATTGGAAATAATATATAAACTCTTTTTGACTAGGAATATTTACATTTTCATTACTCTCTATAACAAAAATTATCTTATAGAATACATCATTACAACAGATGTTAATAATAGTGACATTATTGCGCTTTTTTCTGAAGCGGATGACGATTGCTTGACTTCAGAAACTGGAGCCACTTTAGTTGTTGATGGTTCAGGTTCAGGAGTAGGTTCAGGCTCCAGCTTCTTTTCAGTTGTAGTAGAGCTGTCATAATTATAAGACTCATCATGCAAATAGCTTTTTGCACCAACATTTGAAACTATGAGCCTAAAGTTGGATTCGCTGATGTTAAGTTGTCCATAGATGAATTTATCTAGTCTATTAACCAGGATTGTTAGGTTGCCGCTTTCGTCAAAGGCAAAAGAATTTACCCATTCTAAGTATCTATATTATGAAAGAAAAACATTAGTTTTATATAAATAAAACCAAAAAATCTTACCGTTCATCTTTGGCAATAATCTTTTGTCCAGTTTGAAAAGGTGTAGTAGAATCCCACCTGGCAATACTATTAAGAGCCAATAAACTATAGTAAAGTACTCCTGCAGAATCCATTACCATTCCAACACTTTGAGAACCCTTCATCCCATAATCCCTGACAGTACCTTGATACTCACCATTCTGTGAAGCAAACTCCGGGTTCCTCAAAACACTAGAATTGATGCTGTATAGGTGCAGTGAGGACAAAGGTGAGTAGTAAACTTCGCGTTCTTCCATGAGGATTAGTTTGTTGTCTGAACTGGTGCGAATTCTAGGGCCCAGGGCGATGCTAGCCAAATTCAAGGAGGCACTGATGGAGATGTCATTTACTCGGAAAGTTGATGCGGTTGGATCGGCTCGCATCGATTGACTGTGCCGGATTTTCCAGGATTTTTGGTCTTTGATTGAGTAAACGATGATACCTGGAATGGGATGAAAAAGTACAATAATTATATACAAAGAATCAGAAACTGGCTGGGAAGTTTTCAATCTATGAGCTTCAGATTTAGTTATTACAGTTTGTTTTATTGAATGAAAAGGCCTCATATAGTCTATAATGAATTTTGAAGGTTATTTGTTACGAAAAAAGTTCCTTTATAAGACAAAGATTTTTCTGGAATATTCCGACAATCAAATATGCGAGGGGGTATAGTCATTTGCGATTTTTTGGGAGAGAAAATTTTTATTTGTGGATATCTTCCCTCCATAGATTGCCAGGCTTAAATCTCCAGGGATATCCTTGGGATCTCTAGGCATATATCCTTAGATCTCCATGGAGATCATTGGAATTTTCATGTATCTTCTCCGGACTTTCATGGACAGGGTGGTTGATTTTCGATAGTTTGATAGGGTACAGCCAAAATGGCCGAAGATACTGAGAAACTGATATACGCTTCCCGTCCTCTTTTTTAGTGTGTCATTTGATGGTGTAGTCAGATCTTGGCCGACAAGATTAGTTTGCAAGGTACAGGGTGATTTTGAAAATTAGCTGTTTTTTATAATTTCTTCTTTAAAACTTCTTACCCTACGGAGATATAGAAAAAGTGCAAAAAGGAAAAATACGTCTTTTTTTACTTAATTTTGAAAATTCTAGATTTTTTTTTTGTTTCTAATTTTTCCCAGTTATTTATGCAACAAGTGTGTAAGATGTGATTGTCGCACTCGCCTTCGGCTTGTGCGTCAAAATTCACATTCACATCCGTGAAAAAAGGTGCTTTACGCACGTATTGCATACAAATTTTTTTCTACTACCAATTAAATACATATGTGTGAAAAAATAAATTTAAACAAATACATACTTCACGCACTAGTACGGAAATAGTATATTACATTACGAGTGTAGAAAGTGACAAATTTCACACGAGTGCTTTTTCGCGCGAGGCGGTAGCCGAGTGCGAAAATCACACGAGTGTATGAAAAACGCTTTTTCACGAGTGATGTACAACATTTTTCCTACGACCAATTTAACAAATTTACACCAATTTTCTCTTATTTTATTTCTTTTCATTTTCAATACACGTGCTGAAAGTATTCTCAACTTTCAACCCACATATTGAAAGTAAATTGTCAATGTCAATCACAAATAATGTCAACGGTATTTTCCACATGTGTGCTGAAAGTACTTTCAGTACGCGTATTGAAAGTACTTTCAGCACGCGTGTGATATTAAGCGCTTTCCAAAGAACCACCTAGTGCGGATTTTGTCATTTTCGTATGTGGTCGTAGGAAAATATTTTTACGTTAGGCACTGGTGCGTGAAGTAATTTACCAGAAAAATACTAAATTGACAGTGTCGACATCTGTCATTGACATTACTTCACGCACTAGTGTGTGAAGTAAATTACTTTATACACTTATGTGTGAAGTGAAATTTTACGTATTCTGAATAGTTCGTAAAGTGAGTACTTTACGCACGGTAGTAGAAAAAAGTGTTTTTTGTTGCTTTCGCCATTTAGACCTAAACGTCATATCATCGTTGAACTCGCAATTATTTTCTCAAAATACTGAACCAATAAGATAGAGGGTGTTCCATTTGAAAAATCTTTGTTTTTTCGAATATCTCAGAAGATAAAGCCCCCATATTTTTTCCAAGTACGCCACTGGATTCTACGTAAAAAAAAAAGTATTTTTCCTTTTTGCACTTTTTCTATATCTCCGTAGGGTAAGAAGTTATAGAGGATTATAAAAAGCAGCTGATTTTGAAAAACATCCTGTACCTCGCCAACCAATCTTATCACCATCAAATGATACACTTAAAAAGAGGACGAGAAGCGTATATCAGTTTCTCAGTATCTTCGGCCATTTTGGCTGTACTCTATTAAACTATCGAAAATCAAGAGCCACAGTACCAGTTAAAATGCACGCATACGCATACACATCTGAAGCCGAAGTTCTTGGATCTCCACAATGGCCCTTATGGGTTGAAAATATGAAAAAATTTGCTTCAAATTGAGTTTTAATTTTTTTTTCTGATGTTTTTTGATCGTTTTCCACAGTCCATCTTTTGACTGGTGATTAATATTTTCTCTATCAACATTGTGTCCATTTTTTTCCAAAATCGGTATGGTACTTATGTTCACATATTTTAACCGGATTTCCCAAATCTCCAGTGGATCTCCGTGTATTTTCACCGGATATCCATTGTATCGCCACAAATATCCCTGGATCTTCACATATCAGAGCCCGAATTCCGAACCCACTTATCGTCCATATAAAATAGATAGACAATACTATTGAATCGTGGGTCGTGAGTTGGGAATCCAGGCGCAGATCTCTACGGATGTTCATTCCGTAGGACAGAAAATTTCCACCTGGGCTACTTTCTTGAAAGTATACCTATAGTCACTTGTGATTTTTTATTACAGAAAATCTCGATTTGTGTCGATCTTCTCTGTAACTCCATAGAACTTCAGGGATATCCTCTGGGATCTCCAGGTATATCTTTGAATTTCCATGTAGATGATTTGAATTTCCATAGATTTCCGTGTATCTCCTCCAGATCTCCATATACATTGATAACCAGAGGGTACCTACTTATAATCCTGCGTCCTCTGGAGAGAAGTAAAAGCGGTCTTTATCTCAGAAACCCATCTCAGTGATCTCAGGCCAGATAATACAGACCGATCAGCCTTTATGTTAAAGGTGACAGAGAAACTAGTTAAAAATCACATCAGGGAAACCTCACTGAAACAGAGGCCACTCCACCAAAACCAGCATGCCTTTCAACCAAGTAAATCTTGCGAATCCAGCTCTACACCAACTAGTGACAAGAGTAGAGGACTCACCAAAAAACAAGCAACATAATCCCGGCCTTAATCGCCCCTAGTCTATTTCAAAAAACCTTGGAGTTTGGCAGGGAAACTAAGTTTCTAGGCGTCATCCTAGATATGAAACTAACAGGGAACCAACACATCCAAGATGACGTTGATGTTACTAAAAAGTGCGATTGGAAAAATATGGGGACTAAAACCGTCAGTTGTACACTGGCTATACACTACGGTTGTGAGACCAATGATAATATATGCACTTATAGGGTGACCTAATGCAAATTAAAGACAAATTCCGTAGGACAAAAAATATATAGTCACTTGCGATTTTTCATTACAGGAAATCTCGATATGTGGAGATACTCTGTAATTCCATAGAACTTCAGGGATATCCTGGGATCTCCATGAATTTCCTTGTATCTCCTCCGGATCTCTATATACATTTCTTAACCACGGTACCAGTTAAAATGTACGCAATCACGATTTTCCGATTCTGCAGCCGAAGTTATCTTGGATCTTCCTGTATTTGCATCAGATCTTCATGTTTCTCCAGGGAATCTTCAACGTATTTTCATCGGATATCCAGGGATTTCCACATAGATCTCCACGAATCACAATGATAGTAGATTTCCACACTGACTACTCCCTCGCCAATATGGTATGGAAGTTCACATAGTCTAGTTCAAGAAAAACCAACTCCAAAAATGATTTCCTCTTTATTTTTCAAATTCTGATTCGACAGGATGCTATTTTAAATTTCTGGAATATTCTCTGACCATACCAACATACATAATATCCTATTCACAATCTGTAGTCCAAAGGTACAGGTAAATTTATCACCTTTCCCTATCAAATAGCATTGAAAGATGATAAATTTGGAAACACGAAAATATGATATATTTGAGAAAATCTAAAGAAACATATGCAAGAAATATTTCTCAAATAAATAGAGAAAGTTTCTACACAAATTTTGAAAGGGGAATATTAGCTAAAGAAGTATTTGCCTCTAGTTGAGGAAGTGAGAGATGAAGAACCTACATGTATTAGGAAAGCTTAGAAAAGTATCACAAAATTCCAAAGAAATTTAGAGTTTTTCGAGAAAATGTGGGGAATTTTTGGGAAATTCGAAGGGGAAACTGGCACATAGGAAATTAGAATCAAGAATCAGGAACATATATATTTGAAAATTGAACATTTTTTGAAATAAATCAGCCATCAAACCAATTTTTATACCATTTTGTAGCTTTCTTTCTTGTACAATGTTCAATTTTTTATTATTCCCCGCTCTTGATCCGAATCAAGAGCCGAGAATAATGAAAAATTGAACATTGGAAAAAATCCAGTCAATGATCTTCAGGGATATCCTAAGATCTCGAGGTATTGGATCAATGGATCTCCATGGAAATTATCTGGATTCCCATGTATTTCCAAGTAAAGTCCGTCTATTTTAATCTTATATACTCCAAAGGAATGTGAGCTGGTGGTACCCTACATTAGAACGCCAATGATCACCTGACGCAAAAACTGTTTTTGCCAAATACTTCACCTCCTCGCTCCTAATACGGAAAGTGTCAGATTATAAACGACGGTCATTATCCCCCCTATATATTGATAACCACGGTACCAGTTAAAATGATGCACGCACGCAATCACGATTTCCCGATTCTGCAGCAAAAGTTTTTGAATCTGCAGGTATTTGCACCGCATCTTCATGTATCTCCATTGGATCTACGTGTATCTCCTCAAATCTTCACGGATCCTTATCCAGTATAGGACAGAAAATTTCCATCGAGACTACCTGAAGTCCGTGAATTTTAATCTGACTCAAAAGAATGTGAGCTGTTGGCACCACTGGCACCCTACATTAGAACGACTATGGTTACCTGACGTCACACCTGTTTTGTTTTTGCCATTTGCTTGACCCCCTGGAACTTCATACGGAAAAACGACGGACAATAATCACTTGCGATTTTTTAATACAGAAAAATCTACATTTGTAGAGATGTTTTGTAACTCCATATATCTCCATGAATATCCTTGGATCTCCAGGAAAATTCTTGGATCTCTAAGGAGATCATTGGTAATTCCATGTATCTCCACTTGACCTTTATATATACATTAATAACGACGGTAAAATGATGTGCGCACGTACGTAA